GCTGGGGAAGGGTCCCCCCTCTCACGAGGACCCACCGGGAGGCGGTTTCTGCCTTGGAGAGCGGGCAGCGTAACGCGAGGCGTAAGAGAGGGCCGGAGGAAAGGAAGCACTTGCCCACTCCTCACCCTTAGTGGTGGTTTAAGTTAACGGGGCATAATTTACGGAAACAGAGAAAAGGTCGGAAGTGAAAGTTAAATCGGGAAGTAAAAGGAGAGAGAGCCTTCAGCATTTATACCCCCCTCTGACCGACTGGAAACATTAACTCCAGCCTACTTTTTCCTTTTACTTGTGCTAACCGACAGGTACGACTCGTATTTTTGCTGATGGAAAGCCAGGGCCCTGCGCCACGCTGCTGTAGCCGCAGCGCTCCGGCTGCTGCACGACAGCCGTGCCTACTGCGGCAGCACAGGAGCAGAGCACTTGCCTCAAATGAGGGTACAGGGAAGCGTGGCTGCTTCCCGGCTCTGCCGCCCTCGAAGCTCTGGCCAGCTTTGCCGCCGCAGCATGACAGCGCAGAAAGGCGGGGTTCTCTCGCCTCTTGAAGAGGCTTCTTCCTAGAAAGAGGCTTTTTTACCAAAACCTTCCTTTTCTCCTTCTGAGGGCTGTGGCCTCCCTCAATTTAACGTCAAACTACTGTCACCAACATGGATGACCTTACCCTTGCAACCACCCAGCGACATACACAAATACCCTGATTTTACAGATGTGGAAGCAGCGCACAAAACCTGAGTGCAAATCACTGGTAAAAGTGCACTAAGCTTGGTCTCAAGGCTTTAAATACAGAACCATACTTTCCTCTTTCCTTGATGAGCATCTCTGCTTTTCTGTGTGACTGCCTTCCTCACCTTTTTTATGAGCCCCTTTTTGCATTGTGCCATCCACCTCTTTTCTGTAAGATTTCTCTCCATTTTTCACTTTGATTCACCCCCTCTATACCCAAGCCCTCTTCAGACTTTGCCAGCGCTCTCCTCCACCACAATGCTATAGTAGCATTGGCCTGCTGTGGCAGCAGCTTGCGGTGGATATGAAGTTGGTGCTCCAGGCCCATCTGCAGAGCAGCAGTAATAAAAAAGCCTGGAAATAAATTAACTGGCTACTTTCCAGTCTACCTTCCACCGCCTCAGCTAGAAGCAACATCTTCAAGGAATGCCCAGACAGCTCCTCTTGATACCGTCCAGGTCTTACATACCTCTGACCTGGATTTTAGAAACATGAGCAGGTCGGTCACAATTGGGACTATCCATTTGTTTCACAGGTTACAGCTACCTTTGTTTCTCCTGCTGTTAGTTACCAATGAAAGATTGCTGTCACAAAAACCTTATTCAGTGGACCAGCGCTTATTACATGGAAAGGTCCCGCCTAGTTTTCACTGTTCAGACAAAGAACAAACAGTTTTCTCAGAGATACAGAATGCCTCAAGCCCACAAAGCGTTTCATGCCAGACCAGTATATAGAGAAAAAACAAGCAAAGAAAGCGCGCACACACATTTTGAGAATACCTACATAGTTGCCCCATTCTCAGGGACATGACAGTCAGAGTTAAAACTACAAAATATGACAGCAGTCCCTACGGAACCATATGGTGTCTCCCTCTTACATTCAAAATAAAAGTAATTAAGGCTCCAAAAACAAATTAGAAGAGTGGCAATTTATTAAAAGCAATTAAATGGAACTGCACAAACAGGCTGCAGTGAGGCTCAGGCTCTCAGTGACTGTTTATTACTTTTAATTCTTTACCACGCACATCTCAGCTTCCCTACATATTGCCTAAGTAAGATCTAATCCCTGAGCTGTAGCAAACCTGAATATAATAATCAGCATTTATAAAGCATCTGATCTCTTCAAAGGACTTAACTACATCCGGAGGTGGTTGCGTGGATTAATTGATGCTTAAGTATAATATGGTAAGTGGTTTGCACACACAAACACAGGCAGTCAGAACACTTGGCTGCATCCAAAATCAGTCCATGCTCCCAGCGAGGTGCCCAGAGGGGCACCATGGTGCAGCATGAAGCACCACCAGGGCTGTGCTCGTCCAAGAACAAAGAGCCAAGCTAATCAGAAATGCTAATCCCAAACAGTAACATTTTGTGCTCAAATCTGTTTCTCCTTTCTTCATTGTCTCAAAAAGTAAAAAAATACAGAAACATCACACCTAGTCACAGTTCTCACAGAAGCACATAATCAAATTCTGATCAAAATAATAAAAGCATATCTACGTGAAAAACAAACATGGAGCAGGGCAGACAATCTCGTTCTTTTTCTGTATCTAGGAGTCATTGGGTACCACACGACTTTGAAGTAAATAAATTAGATGCATTTAAAACAGTAGAAGGGGAAACACTCACTTGATCTGCCAAGAGGAACCCAGTTTTAGCCATCTATACCTCTGATGAAGGAAGAATAGTGAGGCCTTTGCCCTACGATGCAGCATCTACCATGTAGCAGGTGGCCTAGCATATTAACACAGCTGTCAATATTAACAACAGCACCAACACATGCAAGCCAAAACAGATGGGGGATCCCGTTGCTTTTTGCCTCACATTAGATTACTCAGATGTGGCCCGTACGAGGTAATATCGCACTGCCCAAGGCAGCGAGAAACCATTAAAATATAGTTACAGAGTGAAACAAAGGTACAGAAGTGGAAAAAGCCAAGGCTAGGCTCTTCTGAGCTGTTTATACTTTTTTTTTTTCCCTCCTTAGTTCATCCTGCCCAGAGGTTTGTTTGAATCTTTATCTCAAAGAAAAGACAGGAGAATGCTATGCCCATTCCATATCCTATCATTTTCTACTGCAATTCAGATTATAGCAGTTGTGCACAAGGGAAACCTCCCCCTTCTCCTTGCTGCTTTAGAGCGAGCAGATGGTGAAATTTTAATTGTGCTTTCTGAATTTCCTCCCTTTTATGGGTCTTTAAAATGTTTAGTCAAATGTTGTTTTGTTTGGATACAAAAAGGAAAGCAAACATTCATCATCCTGTTTATGAAGAGCCCTTCTCTCATATGCAGTTTTAGACTTTTCCTAATATTTTGCAGAGAGAACCAGAGAAAAATGTGGCCTTAAAACCACAAAGCTAAACATTTTCCCTGTAAGCACATTTTAGCACAACTCTTAAATGACAAAAACATATTCTCAAACTGTTTGCTGGACTGTTACAATAAAAAATGGTCATATGATTTGAAGTACAATGTATTTATCAACGAAACTATTTTGTCTGTCTTGACTATTTTTTCTTTTTCATTTCATAGGCAATCCCATTTTCCAGGCTCTTCCAAAACACATCTAGAAGTTAAAATGTCACAAATTTAAGTAGCATTTTAATAATGGATGTTCCTTTACTTACCTTTTTATTTTCTAGTATATAGTATATCATGACAAGGTTTCCAACAGGTAGCATGAGACCATGAATTTATAAATACTTATAATGGAGTCATCACAAGTAATATTTCTTAGCCATTTTTTACAATTTCATTTTCCAAATGCTGAAAAAAATACTGACAACTTCACAATTTCCAATTTATGCTTATTCTGAAATGAAGGTGTAAAACAGAACTAAAGATCTGGGACTTGGGTAGATGTTATTACACAGATGAAGTATGTTAGCAAGGATTTCTAGGATGCAACTCTGATCTAGCTGTGACCTTTTGCTGGTAAGCATGCATTGCGCAGCTTTCCAGCAATTCTCTATGTCCTTTAACTGTGCACATACTGTTCCTCCGTTTGATTTGCCGAGAGTGGCTTAGAGGAGAGACACATGGTCAGCTGCTCTTGTTCAAATGCCTCATTGCCTGGAGAGGACAGCTGGAAATGGCTCATGCTATTAACTGGGGTCACCAAGGGCCATAACTGTAGTATTATTTATTATTTTGGCTAAGATTTACACACTGTACCACCTACAGCCAAAGTTCACTGTACTAATTACAATCTTTGCATCTTTCTTAAACCCTCTCCTATTTATTTTCCACGCTATCATTTGTGATGCATACCTTTACCCAGTACAGTAGTATTAAAAGGGTACATTACTTATAAAGAACAAAATACAATTTGATGAAGAGCAAAACAAACACACAAACAAAAAAACCCATCTAACCCAGCATCAATTGAAGTTCTTTTAAAATGGACTTTAATTGCACCTGGGCAAGGGGCAAAAATGATATAAAAGGCTTATTTTTCAGTGCTATTGATTGTAATCTAGAACAGAGTTAGGTGAATAAGGTCCTTTCCTGTCAATTCCAACAGAATTGATAGCTTTCGGCTAATTAGCACCACTAGTCCAAAAGAGTTTGGAGACATTTTTGGTAGCACCTCCTATCAGCAACACTTGTGTGATTACAAAGATTAAAAAGATTAAACTCACTTGTGCTCTTATCAATGCTAAGTGTATTGCAAAACACCTTATTCTCACTGGAGCTCAGGACAATCAGCTCTTCATATAATGAGGTCTCTATGAAACTATACTGTTCTGGGCTATGCTTCTTTGCTGAGTCAATCTCTCTAGCTGCCATCACCTACCTGACCAGAAAAATTCTGGTTAAACAAAGTGCTTCAGTAAGTTATTTTCCTCCACCCTCTAACATGTATAATACACATGGGGAAAAAAAGGGCACAAACCATTTAGTGCCCCCAAAATTAGAAGTATTTTCCAAAACAGGTTTCTTACAAGCGAATAAAGGAAATCCATGAAATCTAACTAGCAAGTTCTACACTGTAGTTCATTTAGCACTTTTCTTCCTAGAATGTCATTTGAATATTGGGTTTGTACTTAAAGAAGAGGAATACACACCTTTCTGTACAAATGTACACAATTTTAGATATCAAATCAAAATACTCATTTTCTAAAAGCTTAACACATTTGCATAAAAATTTGTACACGTCCATTTCTCAATCTGCAGACTATTAAGCAGCTTTGAGTAGTGGTGCAAACCTTTGCACAGAAAGCTTAAGCCTGTGGACAGCAGTCTTGCATTTTTTAATTACTCTCCTAAGAGTTCTTAAAATTAGTCCCACCCAGAGATGCACCAATTCCATCCCTTTGTCAACTCTACTTGATTTCAAAATGCACACTGCTTTTTATTCCACCACTCAGAGTCCTTTATAAAGCATTATTCAAAATGTTTGAAAATCAGAATAAAACAAATAAACAAAAAACTTTACCACTGTCTTAGCAAAAACATATATTATTATGCTCCAAAGGGAACACTCTAATTTCGGGAGAAATACATTGCAAAATATTCTTGGTGACTGTAAGTGTACAAAGTTCTAACAAGTACAATTCTAACGGCTTCCAGCCAAACACGATCATAAAAGCTTTTGGCTGCAAATATCACAGAATCCCACCTGCCAAGCACCTCCTTTTCATATGGATACAAATGATACTCAGCAAATACTTCCATCTTGTTACAGAATAAAGAAGAAAGTCTAATTCCTAGCTGAAGGCATGCAGAAGTTTCATGTAACAGAAAATATATAGCACATAGAAAAATTTAAGAAATTTTAAAGCCTAAATTTGTAAGAATGCAAGCAACCTTTAATCAGGCTATACCTAGTTAGGTGGTTAAGTATTAGCATAATTGAAAACAATTCCCCCACTACCTGCTTTAAGCCCAACACAACAGAACCTTTAGTAAGAGGAAGAAGATTTATCTTAGTATGCAAGAACAAAAATTCAGAATAATCCAAAAGTTTCCTTCTACTGGTTGGAAAGGGATTTGTAAAACAAACTAGAAATGTGTACATTTCCACTGCAAAATTTAAGGTTCTGTTAAAAACAAAACAGAAAATCCCAAGGTTTTCCAGTGATTCTACCAGAGACCAAAACATAATAATATGGTTACTACAAAGATAAGAACAGCAAGAGGAAAGAAGTTGAGATAATGTAATGAAACTGTCACTTCAAAAAGTGAAAATTCAAAACTGCCATTGCTCTATTTAATTATCATAACATATATGCCTTATGGCGGCATGTGGTTCAGATCAAGTAACTTACAGATACAGTATAGGATTTCCTGTACCACATAATCATAATCTCCAAAACAGATATCAAAAATACAGTCAGAACTTAGGTACTTCACTTTCAGACTTCTAAAATATGTTACTCCTCTCCTGGAGGAGACAGGATTCCTACTTTGAGACAGAAAAGGACTAGAGTGGTATCCATAAAACCCACAAATATAAGTATAGGTTGAAATGAAGCTCGACTATTATCTGTTTAAGCTGTCTACTCCTATCTATACCTAGCATTTCATCACACTCAACTGTCTTCCAAAAAATCTATTTAATAATCTGATTATCATCTGATGCGCTGTTTATTCTTTCTTCCTGAGAAGTTACGCATTTTAACATCAACTTTTCAGCTGTGATTGCCTGAACAGAACATAAGTCTAAGATAAGAAGTGCTTGTGCCCCATCTCAGCAATTGTGATTCAAATTTGGTGCCATTTCACAAGCTTTCCCTTTCTCTCATTTGCCTCTTTCAAGTAAAATACCCAAGATATGAAGCAACTCCCTCAATGTTTTTTGAATGCTGATATTCTTACAAGTACAGGATTTAGTAGCTTTTATTCCAGCCTTTCACCCTAGAGTAAAATCATTTTAAAATTTCAGTGAGGAACACAAGCCTTCCTTCCTCATCTTCATTAGATATTGATTTCAGAAGTACACAGCCATTTTTCACCATTTTTAAATATATGTATACCCGGCTATGCATGATTCAAGGTTACAACTGCCAAAATAATTGCCCCACCCAAGCATTCTTTGCTCTTAAAAACAGAGAAAGGGAAAACCCTTTTCCAGATAAGTGAACACCACCATAAAGAAACGTAGCTCATGGGGATATAAGCCTGAACTTCAGAGTCTTTTCATCTGATGCTGTTCTCCTTTTGAAATATTTGCTCCATATAATGTACACCTTTAGTCCAATAAAGCATGAGTCATAAGACTAAAGGCGTTTCACTACAATGGCATTTCACAGGATGCACTTACTGTAGATCGTAAGTAGAAGAAGTATAGCAGCTCTTCCAGATTTTGTTCAGGGTGTGCTGAGCCACTGCTAAAAGGAAAGGTTCACATTATCTCTTCATTAAATCCACCCCCTGAATAAAGCTGCAGACTTTTCTTTATAGTAGGAACTGACTGAAGTGCTTATATTTTCTGTAATGCTGACATCAGTTCATTCACTTAGCATCTTATGCACTACTACAACCTTGAAGCAAGCATGTAGATATTTTGTATCCTGTACAAATCATTCAGTTATTAAAAAGCATTACATGATTGGATGGTAGAACAGCCACCTCAAAGAAAGAAGAACAAATATTAACTTATGTTTTAGAACATCTTATGACAGAAGTTTCTTATTCTTTTTTGAACCACAGCATGATAT